TGTTTTGATGCACAAAAAATGTTTTATGGTTTGTAAAAATTGTTTTGACTTTTTGAGAACCGAGACTTGAATAAATTGTCGGTTTTGATCACAAAAGACCGACTCGACTAAGTCTTCAATTCTTGATCTTGTCCTTGAGTCTTTTAGGTCTTGTTCCAAGCCATTCTTCACGCCTTGAGTTATTCAACGAAACTCTTCATATCCACGGCGGTTTGGCAATTATCAAAACCTGTCAGAAATGAACACGACTTTAGTTTAACGTGCAAAGTGTGTTCCAACAATTTCCCCCTTTTTAATAATGGCAAACAAGACGGGGATATGCATAGGGTTTTGATCTTTTTGAAACAAAATTCCCCCTTAATAAAATTCCCCCTGAAAATATGCATAGCCCTTATCTCCCCCCTTTTGACATTAACAAAAAGATTGTTAACAACAAAAATCATAAAGATTTTTATTAATTAATTAAAGGAAAAGGCGGAGTACATAGCGAAAGCATTAAAAATTATAAAATAAGGAAGAGAAGAAAGTAGAGCTAGAGCTCTAGAAATCCCTTATGAATTAGAATTGATTCAAACTAGTTTTTCTTCAATTATTGAGCAAATTGTTGTTGAATTGGTTGAATTACATAATTTGATTTCATAAGTAGGTTGGTATGTGGAATTCGGTTTTTGTTGAAGCTATTTTAGCTCCATAAGGTAGTTAAATGAACTCCGAATTCATACGTGAATCTCTTTTGTGCTTTTTTGTTCGTTGCTTTTAAGGAATTTGGACTTCTTAGCTCCATAAGATGATTCATTTTTCTTAGAATTTGTTATTGAGTGATTGTTATGTTTCTGTGTGTTCGTTTGTTATTTTCAGTAATTTGAGGTTGTTTAAGCTCAAAAACGATCTCAATTTATTGAAAATATGTTGTGTTCATTTATGTGAATAGAAAAAACGTCATTGGTTTGAGAAGTTCATGGAAATCTGTGAAATGTGCTTATCATTAGGAGAAAAAGTTTGTTAAAATACATAAGGTATTGGCAGTTTGTGAATAGATTATGTATGAGAGTTGAATGCATAATAGATTCTCTCTTTTATAAACTTTTTCTATAGTGGAAGCATGTTTTCATGCTTGAATAGAGAGTTGGGGTTCTAAGGTATATTTCAAAACGGGCCTTTGAATTGCATGACTCCGGGCCGTGTGGAGAGTTGACAATCCTCCATTTCGTGGTTAAGGAAATGAATTGACTCGGTCTTTGATTGATTTTTTCTATTCTTAAGTGCGTAAGTTACGTAATATATTGTCTACGTGCCTATTATACGTGTAATGTTTGATTTGTGTTTGTTCTCTTTTTCATTTTGTTTCGGGTTCTTGGTGGTGTTTTTTTTGGGTTTACTTTAGTTGGAGAAGTTGAATATCTTTAGAGCTTGTTTTCCCCCATTTTATCAAAAGAAAACCAAAAAATACTTACTTTTCATCGAACCCCCCTTGTTAGAA